TTACTTACTTTACCATAGAAATAATTTTTCAAAGATCGTGTCATGCAAAGAGTTTTCTCAGAACTAACACTGGTAAAATGCTGGTCTAGATCCCTTGCTTTTGACATACAGAGAGGTCTGAGACAATTAATTCCATGGACCAAGCCTAAGAATTTAGCAAATTTGATGATAGGACTTTCTCTTTACATGGCTTATTGTCTCACAAAATTTAAACCTGCAGTAGTACAATATTCATGGTTCTATAAATTCTCTTTTACAAACCAAACATGCAAATAATATGAGACGTGGTTATATCTGTTTTGTGGTCACAAGTCTTCTAATTATTGAAATCCAAGCTTGTGAGCACAATCAGCAAGTCATTCTTAGTGTAGTTATAATTTGCTTTTTCATTTTCCCCACCCCTGGCTACATTAAACTACTTGCTGTTCCTCAAAACTTCAATGAATTTTTTCTTGTTTCTGTGCCTTTATTCAAACTGTTCTCTTTCCTTGAATGCCCTTTCTCTTTCAACGTACTAAACTTCTCAATAATTGCCTGTTTATCCTTTAAGGTAATATGCATATTCATGGTCATTGTTTCCCCTTGTTTAAATTTATAAACAAATATTATGTATTATTTTGCTGTGCTTGCCCCAAAATATTAACATACTGTCTGGCACACAGTTAGCACTCACTAAATATTTGCTAAAATACATCAGTGAATGGATAGAAGGGTTAAAACACTAGTTTTGTGGCTGGCTGCAAGGATGAATGGATAAAAGGAATAAATGTTGCAAATTTCAACATTGGAATTACTCTTTTTCATCCAGGATATGTAATTGAGAAGCAGTAACCTGAGCTTCTATTCAACATGCAGAATGACAAAATAACTAGGATCAGGACTCTCTTCAATACTAGAATCTGTGTGGATGTTCACACCATGCCTGAAAACATCAGACCATGGTCAGAGAGTTCCTCAGACATCTTGAATAGAGTATTCATATAGGTTGTTAAAACCTGCAGATGTGTTAAGTTTTTAGTCTCAGATAGAGAGTCTAGTCTCTTAGTATGAAAGAGAATTCTCAAATAACCTTTGAAGGAAATGTTACACACCTCAGACTCTCATATGCACTGAGGCTCCATATTCCTTCTCTTCTTCTGCAGTTTGGCTACCACCTGCAATTCCTGAAAGGCCTATAAACTTCCATGGTCCATGAGAAGGATTTAAATAGGGACTAATGTTATTTATTAAAAGCTGGGAACTAATAAATAACTAATGTTATTTATAAAAAGCTGTGTTTCAAAACATGAATAGAAATAATGTTTTTTCAGGAATAGGAGAAAAATGGAAAGGAGCAAGGAATTAGTAGAGATGTCATGAAAGGCAATTCTTTCTTATTTTATCTTAGAAATTGGGAGTGTATCCTTCAGAAGTGCAAAAGAAAGTGAGAGATGGTTTTGCATTCATTTAAATTATGGGCTGTCAAAAAGTCACAGCTAATTCACTAAAGGAAGGCCATTACCTGGACAATTATGTTTATAAGTGCTTGGGAATTAAATTTTTGAGCTAGTTAGCAATATGTAGTTTTTAAAACTAATCAGAAATTAATTATATAAAATGAAAGACGTGTCTTTTTCTGAATGGGCAATTGAGAACCTGCACATTTTTAAGAGAAGCATTCTGAGAATCCAACTACCTATATAATCCTTTCAGAAACAATAGTTGCTAAGCAAAGAATCAAGGAACACAGGTAGATAGTACTACAGCAGAAAGAAGTTGCCAAATATATTAAGCATCTTTGAGATGAGTAGCTCCCATCACCCATGAATGGAACACTGTAGAGAAATCCAGATTATGAATCTTGATACCCTGAGACCAAGCAGTCACCAGCTACATAGTGCCGGGTTTTCTAAAATACCAGGACATACATTCTGCCATCCACTTCTCTGATAATCTAGCAATTCAGTCTACTTTTAGATACATAATACACCTTGTGTCAGTGTGAATGTATGTAGTTAAAATATTATGTCAATGAAAACACACATACCTTGAGTATCTATACTTCTGGAAATAAGCAGTTCATGAAAGGACAGATAAACTTAGGATCTTTTATGTGTGGCTTTTCTGTGTAAAGCCATATAAAATCACAAAATGTTAGCAACAGAAAGGTCCTTGGTGAAGTTCACTCTCCCAATTTTATGACAAGAAAATGGAGGTTCAAAATGAGAGAAGGGATTTGCCTAAGGTCACATTCTTATAGTCACCACTTTGGGAGATATATATAATTTGAATGATGAGAAGAAAGTTAAATTCTATGAATTCTCTTTTAAGCTGATCAAAATGTCCAGGCTAAATCCAAATCTTATGAAGATGGAAGTCTATTATTAAAGTATCAAAGGGCATCATATATTAATGCTTTCTTTTCTCCATTGTTTGAGTAAAGGTGGGATATATGCTGAATCATCAAGTTAGCAATAAATTTGAGATGGGACTGCGCAAGAAGGTAGAGAATGTACAGATAGATACTTTGGCAATATACAGCAGTTTGATTTTTAAGCAATGGTTTAAGAGGGCAAACACTGGGCTTTCCTCAACATAGTACTTAAGTATAACAGATACTTTTCTAATTTTTAAAATCATTTTCCAAACAGGATCATGGTGGCAATTTTCAATTAGAGTTGATGAAGAGAAATTTCTGGAAATCCTCTGCTTGGGAGAACTGTTACATATTAGAAAGCATGACAAGTTACTCAGGTTAAAAGGCATTGGAAAGTGGTAAGAATAGCTTTTCCAGTTAAATCATTAGTGATCTCATTGTCATAACATGCTCTTCCCACATTTATCTAACACTTTGTCATTTACCAAATATGTTCATATTAATCATGTCATCTGATCCTCACTGTAACTCTGTAAGGATTATATTTATAAATTGCAGGCAAAGAAACTGAGGCTCAGAGAAGAATACAGTAAATAAAGGAGCTAGCAGAACTTAGGTCTGTCTGACTCCAAAGGCAAGGCCATTTACATCATATCGAGAGTTCTTGTATCTTGTATTTCTTGGAATTTGTCAGCCTAAGCTCTAATTCCTAGCATTGTGTCTTGTACACAGCAAACATTTAATCAATAAACTAATATGAAAGTCAGTCACAGCATTTATCAGCTTGTCTTCACTGTGTTGTTCAAATTCATGCATATCTGACCACTCTACACAATACATTGATTTAAAAACTTACTATACCACTTTTTCCAATAAATTAATTTACAACCTTAAGTCTAAATGCTAGATAATGTAGTGACATCTTCTGTTTTACAGAAGCCTGTCCTTCTGAAAAGGAGTTCATTATAATCATGCCACAAGACTGGTTTATAATAAAAGATACTGAAATAATATTCAGAATCAAATGTTATGAAGACTTTTCTTATCATTAAATTTTACTTACATCAAAATAGGCTTTTAATTCATACCAGAGATGGCAAGGAAAGGAGTTCTCTACCTGGGAGTCCTCATCTCTTACACATAATTCACTGAAAGCTGACATTGAAGAGTCAATTATGTCAGAACCTTGACTTGGATTGTAACATTTTTACAGAGAAAACTCATTTTTGATACTTTTGCTACCTTTCCTGACATTGCTTCTGCGATCCCCACTTTAGAACTGGCCTTCACTACAATTCAGAGAAATTGTAGAATTTCCCTGAAGTATAATAAGAAGCAAATATCAGGCTTAATTTTTTTCAAATATTTGAGTCTCATTTGAGGTAGCTATCTGAAAAGCCATTCATAGGGGATCTTTGAGTATTAGACATTATTTGTGGTCTTTCTGTTAATTTCAACTCAAGCCTTGGTCAATTTGTTTGAAGTACATGAGTCTGCTTATATAGTACTACTGGTCTGTGAAGAGGGGATGATATACTTGTCTGTATGAGACACACATACGGCCTTGCTCCAGAATTATACAATAAGTGGATGTTTTCACATGTGCATATAAGTACACAAGGTATTGAGTATCTCACAAAAAGCCAGAAATGGACAAGTTCTAAATTTGTCTTAAGAGAAGAGAGATAGGGCTAGATTACTTGGATGTTTTAAGCTGTTAATGAATAATCAAGTCAGAAGCTATAGTTTTGGACATGCAAATAGTCTTGTCTGTTTTTCTTTTTCAGTTCCAAATCAAAGTAGACTAATGAGGTTGCTTTTCTTATATAAAATTAATCTGTTTGGAAGCATCAGGCAAAACAGAGGACTCTGGTATTGGAAAGATATAAACATGTAGGGATGACGGAATTTAGAAAGGTAAAGAATAAATGTACATCAACTAGTGGCAAATCATTCTGGAATGGTGACAGTGCTCATGGTAGCCACAGGCTTAAGGAACAAACAGTCTTATAATAGAGGATTACCCTTGATTGTGCTACTTACTACTTAAAAATGATTTCCGGAAGTGACTGATAGATTTGTAAAACAAATAAAAAAAGAAATGATTAAAATGGCTGCTCATCCTTGGGATATGTAGGACAGGTAATTGGCTCTGTTTGGCAGCTTAGTCGTATGCTTCAAACAGAAGCAGCTTCTCATTCCAGGTTCCTGGCTCTACAATATAGGAAGCAGTTTGCTGAGAGATATTCCTAGGTGTTCAGAGCCAGCCTGTGCCTGGGTCATCCTGCACCTGTGACTATTCCAGATTTCTTAGTTTACTTCTCCTAGTTACCACCAAATCGCATCAATACAAGTATGCTCCTGGGGTAACCCTGCCCAGTAAAATCAAACATCAATCACCCTCTGTTGGTTCCTGATCCTTACTTCATATCTCCTACTCCTGTGTTGAACCCCAGGGTCATGGGTGGCATGATTAAGGATGTAATGACAGCTACATTGGACATGAAAAATTCAGCCTGCACTTAGAATATGGCCGGTCTCCTTGTAAGTCTCAAGGAGAAAAATCTTTTTCAAAGAAATTATTGAAGAATAGAGGGAGATAGTAGGAGCAGAACAAGTAGAAAGTCAAAGAAATGTATCATACCTCCCAGAGTCATCCCTGCTTCATAGCATTTCCGGAGACGACAAGATGGACAATTTTTCCTTCGGAATTTATCAATGGTGCAATCATTTCTACTGGCACACAGGTACTTCTGTTTTCCTGGGTAAATAATTGCAAGAAGAGATGACATATTAACAAAACATATTGAGTATTCCTAGGCAAATGAAGGTATGATGATATATATCAGCTGAAGAGAAAAGTAGATAGACAACGGTCCCAAACACTTGACCACATAGACTTTAACTACTAAAGCAAGATGATTTTTGATCAATTTTCCATGCCCATATCTGTAATCTGAGCAACAATTTTGGGAATAACAATATTCAATGTAATAACCATTGTCAATATCCTATCTTGTTTTGCATTCTTATATTGTTCATGTTGCTATTATTTGTTTGCTTTTTATTCTTTCTCTCTCTTTTTTTTTAAACAAGAGGTTTAACTCAGTGTTATACTGTTTGGTTTTTATAGGTATTTTTCAAGGGTAAAAAATTCAGGTCCAACTCCATTATGAGTGATAATTCCATTATTAGGATTACTCACAGGTTTTTAAAACAAGAATGCCCATGAGAAAATGATCACTTACGGAAATTGACCCTCCTTTAGCATGGCACAGCAGAGACCTGGGCTCAGCCAATGTATCCTCCTATTGACACTTGCAATCAGGCATGGAAACATACTTAATAATATGTCTTTTCCAGAACACTAGTGTCTTAGCTACTTTTCTTGTTGCTGAGACAAAATACCCAACACCCAAAGTTAATGGAAGAATAGTTTAATTGGCTCACAGTTTTTAGAGGTTTCAGTCCATAGTTGGCTGGCTCCAAGGCAGGACGGCATGACAGAGAGATTTCACAGAGGAGACAGTTTTATGGAAAAGGAGGGCAGGCAGATGGGAAGTAGCAAGCAAGTTACAAATGGCAATAGTAGTTTCTTCTGCCTTTTTTATATTCTATCTAGGCCATCTAGCTTAGGGTTACTAATTTAGTAATCACAAGCACTTAATGCCAGAATCACACACTCTAGATTCAGCTACCTCTGAAAAAGTTCTACATATGACTACAAGAGGTTTTGAGAGGGCACCTAAACACAACCTGTAATAACCAGTAGTGGTAAAACTTCCATGAAAGAGAAGTTCATGGAATTCTCAACCTTGTTTTAAATTGCTAGCAATCATGTTCCCAAACCTGCATTTTATAAAAATCAAATAAAGATAAGGTCTATTTTGTATAGTCACTCATAGCAAACAAAAGGAAGTCCTTTGCAGCTAGCATAGTAACAAAGATCATTATTGTGCATACCTGAAGTCACCACGGATACACAGAATAACATATATGCAGACACATGAAAAGTGGGCACAAATTATTGAAATCTGTCCATCCACAGCAAGCTTGTAGAGCCAGCACAAAATATGAAAATTGCTTTCAAGAAAGACATGGCATAGATGGTTGGAGCCTGAAGACAAAGCATACTAAGCGAGTCAAAGTTCTCTGTTCTTTGTCTATAAAGTATATGGCCCTGTGAGTACCTTCTATACATTTAGTTGACAGAAAAGTAAGAAGGAAATGGACTGGTTCCAAGGTGATTCTAGAAACATCCTATGCTGTACAGCAGATGACTGAATGATTAACTCAGAAAACACAAACTGTTATCCTAATCCCTTTCATCTCAGAATATAATCATTAAACTCTGCTCTTTGGCACTGTTGACTTTCAACAGCAAAATTTAATCAACAACCAATAATCGAGGTCTCACAAAACTTTATTGTGAAATGACTGATGAAATAGAAAATTCTTCTCATACTGAAGCAGATAAAACTATGTCATAGAGATGCAAACAGATCACTTATTTAAATGTTTTATAGCTGTCTTATAACGAATACAAGCCCTTGACTAGTATGAATGGTCACATAATCGCTGACATGAAATACTCTGCAGGTCAGCTGGTTCTGAAATTCTTGACTGTCTGATAGTATTCTGCATCTTTCTTTATGATCTTATTATTTCAACATAAATTAAGTATGATTCAAAGCTCCAACGGAAACTAATGCTATGACACACTTCATAATTTTTCTCTATTTCTGTTATCTTGTGTCATAGTCATAGTACTCCCATGCAGTATGAGTTTAAGGTCTGATTAAAATTCTTTCAAATTTTTCATTTGAAAACATAGCAATTGGAGTAGAAGCAGTAAGGTAAAGGAGTTACCAATTATTAGTATCATCACATTATACAAATAAAGAAATGACTGAGACCTTGTCTTAGTTATTAACTACAAAGAAGGCTGAAGAATGTATAATTTCTCACACTTTACAGAGTAAGTATTAATGTAAGACTTACATAAAAATATTTTTTAAAAAACTTCATTGGAGTATGCCAGAGCATACTTGAATTAAATGTTAAGGTGCATCATGTTCCCAGATGAGTAGATTAAATATTGCAAGGATTTCAGTTCTCCCCAAATGACAACTGTACATTTGAAACAACATAAAAAATCTACACAAAATAATCCAAAAGCAAATTTGAAGGAATAAAATATATGATAATGCCATGATATTTGTGGAAAAGAAGGGCAATAAAATTTTCTCTACCAAGAATTTAAAGTATTATTAAGCTATAACAATTATATTGGTGTCATAGTGGCTCCAATATAGGTCAACTGGTGGAAGATACCAGAAAAGCCAAAAACAGACACAGTATATGCAATACATCATTCCAATTCAGTGAATAAAGAATGAATTATTCACTAACTGGTGTCAGAACCACTGGTTAAACATTTGGTAATCTGTAGTTAAATTACTAGCTAAAAATCTAAATTGCAGATGGATTATGATAATGAAAAGAAAAACAAGAAGAAATGGAGGTACTGTTAGAAAATATACAATCAAATTATAACTATGAAAGTAGATAAAGGGTTTTTAAGGCATGATAATGAAGAAGACATACATGAACATTTTGACAGAGTACACTAGAAAACATTTCAAATTTATTATGATAAATAAAAATTATTAAAAAATTTGAAGAAAATACACAAACTAAGAAAATTTACTGGCATCAAATATTTAAAATCTATAGTCAGTATTCTTGATATATGAAGATACCATGATAGAAAAATGGGTAACAGATAGGAGCAGCCAACTAAAACAGAAATAGAAATGACAAATATAAAAACTCTTCAATTCCCCTAGAAATCATACAAATATAAATTATATGTTTTTATTTGTGAGACTGGTAAAGATGAAATGCTAAATGTTGGTAAATAGGTTTTGCTGATGGGAGTATAAATTTTTGAGAGAGTAATTTAGGTATATATTTCAAGAGAATTAAAAATATATATAATCTTTTATTGGAAATTTAATTTATAGGGATGTTTATGATAAACACAAAAGTAACTCAATAGAAAATTATTTAAACAAGGAAAATTAGAGCTATTTGAATGCTTAACATTAAGAAATAATTAAATAATTTATTCCATATTCAAGTAAAGGAACATGGCAGTTATTGATGATGAATGAACTCAATCTTTTTTTTAATTTAGAAATATGTTCACAGTACACTTACTTGTTACAATAAAAACAAATTTACCAAATAGTAAATTTGACTGAATTCCATTTTAATGTCTAAGGTCTTATAACTCATCTAGCCCAGTTCTTAAAAATATTTAATTTAGAAATAACTGTACATATTTGTGAAGTATGATGTAATGTTTCAATATACTGTAGAAAGATTAAATCAACCAAATTAGTATATCTATCACTTTACTCAATTATTTTTGTGATGAGAATATTCAAAATCTACTTTTTTGGCAACTTTGAAATATATAATGCATTAATTTTAATTACGTTGCATAATAGATTATTAAAATTTATTCCTCTGTCTATCTAGAATGTTATATTGGTTGACAAACATACCACACCTTACTCCACCAACTGTCCCCTAGTATCTGGTAACTATCATACTACTCTCTATTTCTATGAATGTGAGCTATTTTCAGCATTATTTGCAACAGATATGATATGGAAGGTGCCTAAGTGTTCATCACTGGGTGAATGCAATATTGTACAACCTTCAAAAGGAGGTTTTATCATTTGGGATATTGCAGATGACCACTATGCTAAGTAAAATAATACTGTATGATCTCACTTATGAATGAATTCTAAAAACAACTAATTAGGTTTTTTTCTGTCTCAGTAAACTTTCTTTACAAATAAAACACTACATATAAGCTTTATAGGTAAAAAAAAAAAGTTAAAATTAAACCTGATTTGCTGAAGCAAGTACAGGAAACTTAAATGCTCCCACCAAAAGCCACTCTTTCCCCTTCTCTGTGGGCATAGCACTATGATATGTCTTACAGAAACTCTGTCGGAGATCTGAGATTCATGGGATAGATTAGAGACTTACTGATTCAGTCTATTTTCATACCATCTGTTTCACAAATTCAGAAACTAAGACTCAAAAATATAGATACATGCTTAAGGTTGTACCATGTGTGCACATCAACGCAGGGACAAGAGCCTCCATGTCCTCATTTCCAGTCCAGAAGGCTAGTGCTATTCTCATGTAAGATTATGAATGAGCAAACACCATACAAAGCATAAAGCATTATACAAATTTTATTAAATTATTATTATTAAATAATAATATTATTTATTAACAATATTAAATAATAAACTCTTGCACACCAGAACAGGCAAGAATCTCTACAGAGATAACATACTCCAACTTAGTCATTTTACCGACAGGGAGACTGATATCAAGAAAGCAGAATAGATGTAAGACTGTACAAAGCATGCAACCCACTTTGAATCTACACTGCCAAATGCATTCTGCTTAACCATTATAACTTAGTAGATATTTTAAATGCCTCTCTCTCTTGTATATCCTCAGTCTACCTGCTGCCTCTTCCAAGTGATAGGAGGAGTAATACTTGCTTGAGAAGAAAAATGGAAAGAGGGGAAATTGCTATGTTTTTATTGGTACACTTCAAGTTTCTCTTCAACTACAAATATGTTTGGTTAATTATTGCCTGAACACTTTTAGGTAGCTACTAAATGTATTTTAGAGATGAGACAAATAAGACTCAGAGATGTTGAGTGA